ACCTGTGTGCCTCTTAACCGCCTTTTGTTTCTTATCCCCTTTTTTAAATGTCTTACCCCCATTAGTGTCTTATCCCCTATTATTTCCCCATTGTGTGTCTCTTACTACCCCCCTTTGTGCTTCTTACTCCTCCCAGCCTCTGCGTCTCCTTCTCTTCCAGACCCTTGGTGTTTTTTACTCTTACCAGCTCCTTTGTGTGTTTCTCTTTTCCCATCAGCCCGTCTATCTCTCCCCAGCCCCTCTGTGTCTCTTTTTCCTCTTCTCCAGCCCCTCTGTCTCTCTTTCACCTCACAAGCTCTTCTGTGTGGCGCTTTTATCCCCAGCCCCTCTGTGGACTATCTCACCCTGAGGCCCATCTGTGTGTCTTTCTCCCCCCTTATGTCCCTCTGTGTGCCTTTCTCCCCACTCAGGGGGTGCCATGCCACTCTCCCCTCTATGTCCCTTAGTGTTCCTCTATCCTCCCCTCCATATCCATTAGAGTGGTCCTCTCCCCTCCATGTCCCTTAATGGCCCTCTCCCCTCCATGTCCCGTAGTGTTCCTCCCCCCTCCCTTCCCTGTCCCTTAGTGTTATGCTCCCCTCCCTCCCCTGTCCCTTAGTGTTCATCTTCCCTCTCCCTTACCTGTCTCTTAGTGCCCCTCATTCCCCTCAATGTCCCTCCTACCCCCCATCTTAGTGTTCCTCTCCCTTCTCTTTTAGTGGTCCCCCCACTACCCCAGTGTTCATTATCCTTCCCCTTCTCTGTACCTTAGTGTCCCTCCCCATGTTCATCCCCCAGTGTTCTCCCCCCCTCCCCTGTCCAAAAGCATTCTTTTCCCTCTCCCCTATCCCATAGCATTCTTTTCCCCCTCCTCCTCCCATAGTTTTCCTTCCCCCCTCCCATAGTTTTCCTTTCCCACCTCTTTTTAGTGCCCCGGTGTGTCTCCTACCTTTATTGTAGCAGTGAGCAATTCCTTTCAGTCCGGCCGGGTACAAGAAACATAAGTTCCTGTACCGCGGTGCACACTGCTCTGCTCAGCCACCTCCTGCTGGTCACTCCAATTTAGCGCTCCCCGGGCTGGTGTGCCCTAAGGCTCATAAAGCCAACATGAAAAATGGTTTAATGTTCATTCAGATCTAAGAATGCAGTGTGTTTACTTTAGAAGTTCTTATCTCCTGCTCTGTTAATTGAACTTTAACTAGTCAAGCAAAGCTGCTGCAGGTACTAACAGGCAATTAACAGAACAGGAGATATGAACTTTTAAGTTAAACAGACTGTGCAATAAGATCCATTGAGCTAAAGTTGTGTTGGTGTTTAGAAGTAAGCCTACAACTCTAGTATACCTGCAAAACATTGGTATCTTGTAAAGTGTGATGTGGGTGTCCATGGTAAAAGGGCAGGGTAAATTGCCCCACTGGCACACGCCAAGGGGGGCAAATCTGTCTAGAAAGGGGTTTGGTCTGCTCCACTCTGACTGACAATCATGCAGGCCTGCCCCATGAAGAGCAGACCTTGTAGAGAATGTTAATGGCGCACGATCTGCATGGTCCTAGTGCCCTTAGTATAGTGGAAGCTTATCTAATTATGTGCTAGAACTGCACTTTCTGGGGACCAGTTCCCTGATGTCCACAAAAAACAGGGGGCAAACCGACAAAATGGAAACCGAAACTTGAAATAGGAACGGTCCTACCAAAATTGGAACAATTATTATTAGTATTCTTTATAAAGCACCAACAAACTCCACAGCACTGTACAATAGATAGATTTATAAACATGTATTTGCAGCAAGACAAGTTGGATGTACAAGAACAGAAGGAGCTGAGTGCTCAAAGCTTACAATTATGTAAGGCCTGCAATGTGTAGTTAGGTTACAGCTAGTTTTTAGTTTATATTCTTAATAATAATTCATTTTGATGCATAATGCCACCCTTATCAGGCCCATAAAGTACTATTCAAGTGTCACTCCATTACTTGCCTAATTATGAAACGACTGCTTTATTATTGTAGATGTTGTAATGCTCCACCAAGTAAATTGATTAAATTGGTACATAATTCATTTGCAATACTGTAAGCCAGAGGTGCCCAAAAGGTAGATCCTCCAGGTGTTGTAGAACTACAACTCCCATGATGTTTTGCATGTTTTTAGAATGCATTTAGAATGACAAAGCAAAATGGAAACTGTATTTTTCAAATGTCTGAAGAAGCTCTACCTTTTGGGCACCCCCGATGTAAGCAAATTAAAACACATGCTCAATGAGCAGCAATAGTATTTAAATAAAACAACTATATTATTTTTCTACAGTGACAATAATTTTGCACACCCTAAAAGAACACTTCTGAGTATTTAAAGATACTTTAACCACTAGTGTAGTGGTTATGGTTCCAGGAGTAACAGTTTATGTTTAAGTAATAGTTTGATGTCTTACCTGTGGTTTGCTGGGCTCACCTCACACTTCCTCCCTGCCAGCTGTTCTCTTCCTTGAGCTAAGCCCAGAGGTTCTTAGGAGAGCCGCATTTATACCAAATAAACATAATTCAGATACATTATATATATATACAATATATATATATATATATTCAGAGCAACAGTAGAATTTTTTTTGTCCTTTAGTCAATTAGATTTGGATGAAATTCATCCAATATATTTGGTTCGGTTTAGATAAGTCACTAATCTGGTATCCTTATGTGGAATTGTCATATTAAAGGGAGTCAAATTAGGGAGGGAGCTGTGCAGGGCTGGTGCAAGGAATTCTGCCGCTCCCTCGTAAGATCGTTCCATCGTGCCATACGTTTATGTACTTAACTTCTAAAGAAAACATTCCACTGATTACCTTTAACAATTTAGTAGATATACCCCCAAAGAAAACATGCTTTGTTTTCTGCAAGCCCTCCAATCAGAAGCTTCTCACTGTCACACACAATACCTCTCTGATATATGCACTGCAGGTAGATAGTCCCTTTTCTTACAGAAATGGGAAGAGATTTCAGCGGATGCCTGGATCTTACAGACAGTAAGATGCTACATCATCGAGTTGGTCTCGATTCCACACCAACAATATCCACCACCCCCTCTATGGGTATACAGAGACCAAGGGGTCCTTAACGATGAAGAGATACAGACACTCTTCAACATAGGCGCTGTCCAAATCGCGACGAACGACGGAGGTTTCTTTTTGGTATGGAAGAAGACAGGGGATTTCCATCTGGTCATCAATTTTCGGCAACTAAACGCCTTTGTGGTATATCACCACTTCAAAATGGAAGGTATACATATAGACCAACTATGCAACCTCCTCCTACAGGACGATTGGTTCACGCGCCTCGACCTGAAGGACGCTTACCACCAGGCCCGGACTGGCCATGGCAACGCGCCGGATCTCGCGAGAGTGAACTCTAGCCCCACAGGCTAGAGTTCACTCACCCACGAGGACCACCAGGGAACACTGCCTCCCAGTCCCAGGTGCCAGCGTGCCGGTCTCCCCCTCCCAGGTTAAAGGTAAGAAGGGAGGGGGGTATTTAATGCCTGTTTGTTTGTTTTTTTTGCCCCCCCAACACACACAGCACTCTCACACACAGCACTCTCACACACAGCACTCTCACTCACAGCACTCTCTCACACATCACACACAGCACTCTCACACACAGCACTCTCACTCACATCACTCTCACACACATCACTCTCACACACATCACACACAGCACTCACTCACAGCACTCACAGCACTCACTCACAGCACTCTCACTCACAGCTCTCACTCACAGCACTCTCACACCCATCACACACAGCACTCTCTCACACAGCACTCTCACACACAGCACTCTCTCACACAGCACTCTCTCACAGCACTCTCACACACACAGCACTCTCACACCCATCACACACATCACTCTCTCACCCATCACTCTCTCACCCATCACACACAGCACTCTCTCACTCATCACTCTCTCACCCATCACACACAGCACTCTCTCACCCATCACTCTCTCACCCATCACTCTCTCACCCATCACTCTCACACCCATCACACACGGCACACGGAACTCTGGCACACACAGCACTCTCGCACACGGCACTCTCACACACACCGCACTCTCACACACACATACTGCACCCCTCACATACACACAGAATCCCCCAACACAATGCACCACACACACATACACAATACTTCCCAAAAAAAAAAAATATATATATATATATATTTATACACACACACACACACACACACTCTTTGGATCCCCTATACACACATTAGATTCCTTGTAAGCAAACACATACTACACCCCTAAACACACACATCATCACCTATACACACACACACACACTATAGCCTGTATGCACACACTTTCTATATCCCCAATACACACATTCTCTACAGCCCATAGCCACATATGCATCACATTACACCACTTTACACCACAAACACAACATGACTAAAACCAACCTTATTACACAATACCACACCACAATCAGCTCACTCTACACAAACGCAATAACACAAGCAGGCTCCAAACACATGCACAATACTCTTTCCTGGCATTGTCACAAGCAGGCATAGATTCATACTTCGGGGGAAAATTCAATTATGGGTGCAGCAGCGACACAAGTTTTTTCGTTGGGCACCTCAATGGCTGACATTATGTGTTGCGCCGATTGGTCACTGGAAGAAACTTTTCGTATCTTTTACTTAAGACCTACTTCTCATGCCTATTTTGCTTTACTCCCTTAGCAGTAAAAATGCAAAATATGAAGCCTCCTGTCATGTTGTAAAATTGAAGATTATGCTAACGTAGTTGTGACGAAGTGGCCTTCGCCACTTGTGCCTGGAGAGGACTAATTACCAGCCTCTTGCCGTATGACTATGGGAGATTTGCCCTGGGAGATTTTGCCAGTTAGAAACACCATTTGGACTTATTGGTGTTTTAAAAGACTGTTCTGGCCCTTTAAATGGTACTGGCACAATTCTGCAACTTCCAATAACTGTCATATTTTCAAACTCTGTCTGACCCTTTTAACTATCATTTTGTTTTCCTCTGACGAGGAGTTGTTTTGCTGCATGAGTGCTGTTTCTTTTGTGTGCTCATTAACCCCTTAAGGACCAAACTTCTGGAATAAAAGGGAATCATGACATGTCACTCATGTCATGTGTCCTTAAAGGGACAATGTAGTCACTATAAGCATTTCATCTCTTTGAATTGGTTATAGTGCCTGGAGTGCCCTGGCACTGTCCCTCCATTCAGTGTTGCACCATGTTCATGCAGTATGCCACAAAATAAGAGTCCCTGGCCACCCACAGTCCGGCCCCTTCAGTATGTGTAGCTAAGGCAGAGATTACACACTTCCTTGTTGTCATACCCATTCATACCGTCAGTTGGAACTCTGACAGGCTAAAAGCAGTCAGCTGACACTCTCAGCCAATCACAGCTGCCTATTGCTGCTCAGGCTAATACTTCCTTATTAGCCAAAGCAGCACACAGGGGATGGACTGCAGGGGTCTCTTGTTTAGCATTAAAACATTACAACATTAAAAACTGTTTAATGCTGAAATAAATTATGGCACCAGGGGACTCCATACACTATAACCAGTTTAATGAGATGAAGCAGATACAGTGCCTACGGTGTCCCTTTAAGGGGTTAAACAGACCTGCTTGACCCTTTCTTGAAGCCTTGGCACATGCTTGGGGGATGGGATAAGTCTGCAGTGCTAATGGTGTCGGTTGGAGTGCTTGGAGTCCTCGGCAAGCACTAGGAGCATCGATTGGCGGAGGTACTCGGTCGGAGTGCCAAGGGGTCCATCACATTTGGTGGCAAGCGGTGGGATGGCGTCCTAGTGTGAGGAGAAGCAGCTCGGAGACACTGGTAACGTTACAGAGCTACAAGTGAGGGTGACGCTAGCACTCGTGCAGTGCCCCTGTCTACAGAGGAATCCAAAAGGTGTGGATCGGATCACTAGTGGCCCAGAGTGGGGGCCGAGCGAACATGACGTATGGGGGGCACCGGCAGATCTATCACAGGCAGAGGCGAGGTCTCTGTGTTCTCCGTGAGTAAACACTGCCAGCTTAATATCATAGGGGTATTCAGAGTGCAGACCAGGCAGCAGCCTGCCTATAGGAAGTCCGGGCCCTAGAGCTGTGTTTAGCTGAAAGCTCCCATATTAGGGAGGTATTTCAAACTCTAATGAATGAAAATAAAGTTTCATTTTTACAGCGCAGTGTGTTTACTGTAGAAGACTTTATCTCCTGCTCTGTTAATTGGCCTTGAATCCCAAACAGGAGGCTACAGCAAGAAATTAACAGAGAATGAGATCAGAAACAGAGGTATTCACTAAAGTGAAAATTTAAAGTGAATTTAAGGTCAAACTAGCTGAACTAGAAAAATTCCTAAAGTCAGTGGTTCTCTCAGCTGACTTTAAATTTGAAATTCACTTTGAATCCTCTTTGAATTCTTACTTTAGTGAATAACCCTGTAAATTAAATATTATTCAGTTAGTGAAGCTAAAAAATATGAGCTCTTTTTCAGAATGTGTGTAGGGAGACTGTGTGAGTCTAAGCCAGGGCATGATCTATACACCAAAACCACCTCTGTTTACTCACTTGATTCCAGTGCTGATCTACCTCAGCGCTGGCTCAAAACACTGTCTCCTACAACGTCATCTGACGGGGAAGCCTCATTAGGGAATTAGGCCTTCACCATAGGAAAGAAGTGTGGTTTTTACTGATGCTAGAGGTCCTGGATGGCCTCATGCAAAACTTGAGGACATCCAGCATCAGTTAGGCGACCTAGAGTCCGTTAGGATCCAGGAAGTGACTCTAGTGGCTGTCTGATTGACAGCCACTAGAGTCAGTTTTAGTCCTGCAATCTGAACAATAAAGTTTCTCTACACATGCAATACGTTACATTGCAGGAGTAAAGGAGACAGGGAGACTGCACCCAGACCATTCAATGAGATAAAGTAGTCTGGGTGCCTATAGTGTCCCTTTAATGTGTTTTGCTGGTCAGAGTGTTTTCTTAAGATGACCAATGAGAAATGAGCGCTATTAGAAATCTGAGCAATTATGACAACACTATTCGCCAGTTGCACATTGCTATAGTTTACTTATGATTTCACTTCCCTTTTATTAACAGGGATTTTTGCTCACCTGGTCCTATGGGTAACAATTTATCAATATGCTGGATTCTTATTGTAGAGATACATTGATAATTGTGAAATAACCAAGCTCCATGAATCCAAATGCTGGACTGGATTCTTATAGCGGAACAGCAATTCCTCCAATCAAGTCTATAGCTAAATTGCTAATGAATAAGAGAATCCAGCCACTGTGTGTATGGTACATACAACTATTCCTCTTCATACAATTCACGTCACTGACTGGATTCACTTAGCATATGAAACTAAGCTAAGTAAGATAAGCTAGCAATTTTACCATACTGGGGGTTTCACTAAAGCGAGAATTCAAAGTGAATTTCAAATTTAAGGTCAAAGTAGCCGAGCTGGAAGCATAGCTGACTTAGAGAATATTTCCAGTTTGACTATATTGCCCTTAAATTTGAGATTCCCTTTGAATACTCATGTTAGTAAGTAACCCTGAAAGACTTCAAGTGAGGCTTTTTTGTAAGAAAGCAGAGTAAACCTATACTCTGATAAGAGAATCCAGCCCATAGTTCACTTTTCAGTCTTTACTGTTATCTCAGCACTCTATGAAAGGCATAAAGATCATGTACAACTGAGATCAACGGGAATCTCATGTAGCTTTCTGGGATGAAGCATAGAGGGTATTGCCCTGGTCATTATTATGTTCCTCTGAAAGTTGCCCTCCTGGAGTGTTCTGTAAACCTGCCCTGCTGGGCCATTTCCTACTATGCCTTCATATGTATAAATGGAGGCCTAATGCTGCCTGTAACAAACTTTTATATATAGCACGGAGGTGGGATTTCTTTCTATTGACCTTTAGTGTGGCTACAACCTTGTGTACTTCTTTTACAGGTTTAGAAATACACAGAGAAGCCATGGGTAACACCATTATATCACTGTCACAGCAGGAATGTTTGAGCCTTGCTTTCAGATGGAAAACAACCATTTCTTTCCCACCCTTGGTGCTGGGGTTTATTCGCTAAACCACACATTTTAGTCCAAATAAGCTGAATTTAAAAAAATAACTAAAATTGAGATTTTCTTTCCTCTTCAGCAATTTTTTTCCTAAAACTTTCAATGGTTTTGTCGGGTTAAGGAGATAGAAATAGACATCACACATTTACCTCTCTGTAGAAAACAAGGTTCATGCCAGAATAGCTACAGATAAACAAATCTGTTCCTAACCTAATCACAATTGTGCAAGAAAAATAAAATACATATATGAACAATACACTTCAATCTCCTTGTGTATGGGCATATGTATAAAACATATAACCAATGGGTAATATATATCAAGAGCAACAGGACAAGAAAAAAAAAGAGACAACTTATAGTGATGCTAACTATACAATCTGGTTGATCCACCCAATACTTCTTAATGTTTTGCTATATCCTGGATGCAGCCATGCAGCTGAGTTACATTGATTCCATGCAGAATATCCTACAGTAGCTCCTGATATCATCAATATGAAGAAAAAAAACCTAAAAAGTACATACACAAAAGAATATAAAGTGCAAAAAAAAGAAAAAGAAAAAAGTTGAAAAATGCAAAAACTAGCAAAAAGAAAAAGAAAATATAAAGTCCACACAAAGTCTATTGATGTCTATTTCTCTCTTTCACCCGAGGGCGGATGTCTTTCCGTAATCCTAGTAGTGTATCTCTGATTAATTTTTTTTTTGCATTATAATTATGAGTGCGGTATTATCTTTATGTTTTTGATTATATTTTGGAGGTTATAAATTGGATGGTGACCTCAATACCTGCCCCATATTTACAGTTGAGTACCAATACAACTATAGTATTTTTTATCAATTGCTCTTGTCCACTCTCCACTATTCTCATTTTTTTTGTACTGAATAAACCCTACTATCTTTACATAGTATAAGGAGAGATACATTTCCCCCCTTCATTTCCCAAATCACAAAGACAATGAAAACCATATATTAGACATTTCTGTTCAGATAGATCAATTTTTGGAATTACTTTTTAATCAAATAAAAGGTGAGTCTCACGTGTTATGTGGGTTTGGAAAATTTGGAAAATAATTCTTCTAACAATAGATAAGGAAACTATGCAAAAATATAGTTATTTATTCAAAAGTTACTGCAGGCTCACAGCACAAAGGCTGGATATCATCAAGGTTCTGCCAGGAGTAAGTAAAGTGTAAGGGTTGAGCAGGTCCATTACTCAACCCAGCACTGCACAGGTTAATGAACAATACTCTGGGTCATTTCTTAAAATTCTCATTCCGAAATATTATAGTAGGTTTCTTGAAAAAATCACCAGTGCCAATTTGTAAGAGTTTTTAACATTCAAGTGAATATTACTAATGGCTTAATAAAACCCTTAAAGGTTTACTAGGCTATGAGTATGAAAAATAGGGAAAAATATTATGTGTTAATATGTTATGTCTTAAACAATGGTTTCCTTGGATTGATAAAGTAGCAAGAAAAGATGGTCATGGGTTGGGAGGTTCTGGAAATTAAAGAGCAGGATGGGTGTGGGGGGGGGGCGGGGGGCCGTTGGGTTTTTGCTTTTGATCTTTATCCTTGTTCTACTATTTCTACTCTGCCTCAGTTTAAATTTCTACTTGCTTTGCTGCTTTTCTTTATTCTATTTTTGATTAAGGACAATGCAGCCATATCGGAAACGATCTTATGTGTAGGTTACCTTGTGTTGGAACAGCATGATTTGTCAAAATTTAGGCTCAAACCTGTGGGATGCGGAATTTACTGGTGGTCTTTTTAAGAAACTGGCATGATTAGTCCTATATTGTAGGGTTAATTCCCTAGTGGGCTATTGCTCTACCAATAACCAGAAAGCGGGAAGTGCTAGACCCAAATAACACAATATATATATATATATATATATATATCAAATATAGAAGTGTATCTCCTACAACAGTGAAGTACAATCCAAGCCCAAAATAAAGTGCTGCACTGGTGCTTAGCAGTATTGAACCATATATTAGGTAAATATGTACAAAGAAAAATATAAAAACCACGTAGTGCAGACCATCTCATAATAGAAATATATTTCACACAAAAACATATATGTGAAGTACACTCACATTCCCCAGAGTCCTATCAACCCTGGCTCATGGTAAGAGAGGCTTCTTGGAGGCACAGTAACCCCCAATTACACAGTATAAAAAATGCATTATTGACACACAGATTCAAATATGCTTGGGGGTCCCTGTGCCTTTTAAAAATATTATTTTGCCATTCTGGACATCTATCTATTGGATCTATTCCCTCTCAAAAAAGCCTCTCTTACTCAGAGCCAGGGTTGATAGGACTCTGGGAAATGTGAGCGTACTTCACAAATGTGTTTCTGTGTATTTCTCTTTCTTTAGTATTATCTGATGGTCTGCACTATGTGTATTTTATATTTTATTTAGTCAATATTTCCCCACTATATAGTTCAATACTGCTAAGTATCAGTGCAATACTTTATTTTGGGTTTGGAGTCATTCTAAGATTCATATTTTGAAGATACACATTCTTGACCTGTATGCCTGAGTTTGTTAGTCTAAATGTTAATGGCTGAAATAAATCGTCTTTGTTCACTATTTCTTTAGATATTTATTGTTTGCTATTTTAAAGAAATTAACATATGCATATAGAATGTTAACATACAGTCTGTTAAGCCAATAGACAGTAAGCTACAGTTGATCAGTTGATATATGGTGAAGAAGGGATAGCCCTTAATTTATCTTTTTGCTAGTTAGTAAAAAAAATGTGTTCAGTAGGGGACTTAGAATATGATACACATTTCTACAGACATGTAAATTGACTCCTATGAGTCTGTGTACTGAATTGTAGAATTATTTGATGTTGTTTGGTGTATATTCTAGTTGTATTGATGCAATAATATTTTCTCAATAAAGATTTTAAAATATCTATATTATTTTTATTACTGGCATCTTGTGTCCTATTCACTGATTCACCTACACACAAATTTGCATTTATGATTAACTATTTGATCAAAGCACCGCTAGAATTCAGATGGAAAGAAGCCAATGCCAGCTCCCAGTCTGATGTGCCACTGATATAAATTAATTCATTGTAAGTGATGTTTTGTATTGCCATGGTGCTGAAACCCAAAGCAGGGCTTCATTTTATGTATTGGCAGGTTTGTGATTTTATACAAAACATACACATTCACTACTACATAAAGGGTTATTCACTAAAGAGAGAATTCAAAGTTAATTTCAAATTTAAGGTTAAACGACCCACGATTGAAAAAATCTATTTCAGCTATGCTTACATTTGAAATTCACTTTAAATTCTCACTTTACTGAATAACCCTGATAATTACTGTAAATACTGTACATCCCTTCTACAGCTGTTTAACTCTTGAAATAAGTCTGTCTACCTACTGCACTTAATGTGTGAACTATACTATACTCTCCTGTAATGTAACCTGTTAGCTGTATGGACACGCTATGCATACACATACATTGCACATATATGCATATGCAATGTGATCTAAGGAATAGATATTGTGCTTCAGAAATGACGTACAGCATCTCCCATTATCTTTAGCTGATGACTGAGCGCGTGTTCTGTATTATCTTTGGAATGATGAGAGTTGCAATATTAAAACATTTAGATCGACTATTTGTCACTTGCATAATTTTTTTTATATATATATATAATTCTTTATTTTTGGTGCAAATCTTGACAATTTTGACACAACAAAGAGCCACAGCGGGAAATACAAGTCGGCAAACAAATGTCATAACGGCACGAGGTGTAGCATTAATGAACATTGCACATTTTGTTTTTGGTAGCTGTCTAGACAATTGTTACTGGCTGTCAAGTTTATAACATCAATTATTACTAGCCAGATGCAGCACTCCTGACGCAAATATGACTAAGGGCACTTCTGTATACAGGGGGATTATTAACCCACTTGGGTCATCGTGAAACATTACCGACTGTGGTGACTAGTCCTGTTAGACTGCATAAATTTGTTTTTAAATACATTTTTAAAGCGCTTGTATTTCCCTCTAAAAATAATCTGTCTCTAGTGGTTGTACTATTGATACATTAATTGCTGAAAACTAGATGTATGACGTATCACTTGGAACATGCATTCATTGTTGAACATCAAGCAATTCAAGACAAACAGTAAAAAAACTAGCAGGGTTTTTCACCAAAGTGAGAACGCAAGGTGAATTCATAGTGAATTTCAAATTTAAGGTCAGAGTAGCTGAATGGGAAAGCATACCAAAAATGAATAATAATCAAGTGAGCGATTAGAAAAATTAAATGAAGAATTAAAGTGCACAATAAGTGTTAAAAAAAAGTGCTAGTGCCACTCTCCAAATTTCTAAAGTGCAAATGAAATGAGTTTAAAATATATTGTGCAGTATACTTCTGTGACATTCATACAATGATTTTCAGTGCAAATATAAATTCTCATGCAGCACCATATCTGTTTAAACATCCACAAAACACTCTGTAATACACAAAATAAATAAATTTTTAAAATGGTGAACAATAGCCTTTTTTTTTGTTTACTTATACATCATGTAAAATAAAAAAACACAACAAAAACACATAACAGAGAATGAGAAAATTCTATGTAATGTATAAAAACACAAAAAAATAGGGCGTTGTGCACCTTTTTTTTAAATAAAAAAACATTTTATTGTACAGCACTACGTTATTTGCTGGCACTATATAAATAATAAAATAATAATAAAATAGTAATTTTGAATGGAAGTATAGCTAACTGAGATAATTTTTCCAGTTGATCTATTTTGACATTAAATGTGAAATTCACCTTGAATTCCCACATCAGTGAATAACCCCCCTGTAGGTATAATAAATTGCACACAGTGTGTTTAGGGAATTATCCAAGTGGAACTAGAAATTATATTTTAAATACCTACATAAAGTTTCAGCTGCTAGTTTAGACTATCACTTAGATATTTGACATCCATGCTTGCAAATGTAACCTTCTGATTGTCAGAAGCATTAATAACCCATTTATCACTGAATTAATGCAAGGTTTTGTATAAAAGTACATGGGTTTCAAATGTAAGTATTATTTGTTAAGATCTGAAATGCCAACTTATGTTAGCTATTAGTGTGTTTCTGCTCCCTGAGGAGAAAGATTAATGAAAAGACCCCCTCTACAATACAGTATATAGATATTTTGATTGAAGCATACTAAAGGCAGTGGTCTGCTGTGGGATAGGAACAGAGGAGGGGGTGTTAGATTTCATCGTGTGAATAGCACTCAACCAGGACCACCCATTCAGGTGCACGGCCCTATCAAAAGAGCTTGTGTGCATAATGTCCTCTATTCAAGTGCAGATGACTTGGCCGATGGCCTCAAGTGTGTTAACTCTTCAGGTTGCAGTGAAAGGCCATCTCACTGATAAATGGGAGGAGATCGGAGGGGTTTATCATCAGATCATCAGTAAACACCGAGGAGAGAGCTTCTTCAGTAGCAGCTGTGAAGGAGGTCTATTTTATCAAATACAACTATCTGCAGACCAGTGGCCGCCGCCATGGCCTCTACCCAGCAGCAGTTTTTTGGAAGGGTCCTTGTAGAGGTGCGTGACGAGAGAGCTCGTTTGGGAGACAGTGAGAGCTCTGGAAGCCAAAAGAGGATTAGGGTCCATTCCGACTCCACGGACACAGACACTGAGGGAGTGATGTCCACCTCTCACAGTGACACTGGGGACAGTGATAGCGAACGTTCCATGGACGCTGATGTTCCACCGGGAGAAGATACATCCAAGCGAGCATTGGTGAAGCCGCCTTACTCCTACATAGCTTTGATCACCATGTCCATCCTGCAAAGCCCAGACAAGAAGCTGACTCTCAGCGGGATCTGCAACTTCATCAGCAGGAACTTTCCCTACTATAAGGCAAAGTTCCCAGCCTGGCAGAACTCCATCAGACACAACCTGTCCCTCAATGACTGTTTTATCAAGGTCCCCCGGGCACCGGGCAACCCTGGAAAGGGCAACTACTGGACCTTGGACCCCGCTTCAGAAGACATGTTTGACAACGGGAGCTTCCTGAGAAGGAGGAAAAGATTTAAAAGGCATCGCACGGAATTCCTGAACGACGGGGTCATGGTTTATCCCACAGTGCACTACTACCAGCATTATGGACCTCCAGTCCCTCAGACCTTCGTTCAGCAGAACCCACTACCATTCATGGCTCCACCGAAGAGATTGATGGTTCCTTCCCAGCCATATGTGCCCCCTTGCCCTGAGATGTTAATGAGCAGGGCGCCCGTGTGTTCTCAGGTGATCCCAACAATCGGCCTCTTAGGGACCCCAACTAAACCCAAGTGCTCTTTCTCTATAGACAGCATTATTGGCAAATCAAAGGAGCCAGAAGTGAGTCCTCCACCTCCGCCGCATTATGCTCATCCCTGGGACTACCGCAATCTTATGCCAGCCAATACCATGGTGCCAACCCTACTGAACACTTATTCTTCTGGGCCCTTGGTCAACCCTTATGTCATGCCACACTACCAAACTTTCCCTAGTCCTCTTTACCCCAGGACATACATGGGAGCATTTTAAGAACCGGTCTTAATATGATGGACCTCAGACATATTTGGAGTTTCCATGTCCTATGTTACTGACCAGTAATTTATAGGATTTACTGGAATTTGAAGCAAATTATCTGACCAAAGACTTTCAATATTGTCTTCAGTTTTATACACTTAAACAGTGCCCACGATTATTTGTGGGTAATTAACACTTACTGGGCAGCATGCACAGAGAGAGTATATATATATATATACATATATATATAGTACTTTTAAAGCCATCTTTTACTTATATAAGCATATTTTTTGCCATTTGTGTTATGTTTTCCCCCAATGCATAGCATTGATGAATTTGTTGGC